TTGCAGGGGTAATACAGAGTTAAATGTGGTCCTTGTCAGGCTCTGGAACCTGCAGATACCATTCTCTAAGGAAGTGGATCCAAAGGGAGAATTTGCCCATTGCTTCCATTCTGTGTGTGGATTAAAATAGCTTGGGGGCCCATGACATGGCACAGAATGATTTTTTCTCCTAGCATTGTCAGAATGCCCAAGACAGTCTAGCATGCAACAGTCTAAAAACACTTAGCACTACCAGGAATGCCGGAAATATTTTAATCTAAAGAGTATTGTCTTTTTCATAGTAGAATACAAGACCTGGCTTCTCTATTTGAGGAGCTCTTGTTTCTAGGAAATCTCTAGTAGCTCCCTCTTCTTCTTTGTATCCTCTCAAAAATTTTACGTTAAGCTTCACGGTGAGGAGATGCTTTTAAGATGTCTAAAAGAACTCCACCTACATAATAAGTGATGCTATATCTAACATAGACTGATTGTACTTCTGTCTTCTGAGTATTCACACATCTGTCACTGAGCATCTATACTTTTATATTTTAATCTTAATATGAGTTCAACAAGGTTTACCTTCCTGACCATTTGTTCTTGGAAGGGTGGAATGAGCTGTTCTGAATTGGTGTATAAGAGAATACAATGGAACAAACAGGAGATAGATACTATTTTTAAGAGTTGTTTAAATTCTGATTACACTTCTTGTTATTTGTTTTAAAAGCAACAACCCTGAAACCAGATCTCAGAGATCATTCCAAGACACACCTTAGTTACATCAGAGGATGAATAAGAAGGGGGCTGAAGAACAAAATCATCCAAGAAGACAGAATAATGGCAAAACATTACTTGAAATTCAATCTCAATCATCAGGGAAATGAAATCAAACATGGAATCAATTACTCAGTGAGATGGCCTTATTAAAAGTCCCATTAATTGGCCGTGTCAGGATGGGAAAATGGCAAACTTGCCGTTATTCTCGGGTCGGTCAAACATTTAAACGGCTTGGAAAATTGCCTGACCCGGATAAAGTTACGATAAATGCTATTTTATTTTGTTTCTTATGAGCAACTACTATTGGTTTCAAACTCCTGCTTTGATCAATTCAAGCCTCCCAGAGTGCTAGGATTACAGGCGTGAGCCACCGCACCCAGCCTAGCCACTACTATAGACCTGGATATTGTGGGATCAGACTCATTTAATTGAATTCAAAAATAATAACAAGTATGAAATTCCCTTCCACTTTAGACTAAATAACTTACTTAATCAAACAATAAAAATATATATATCCAAAATATTAACTACATAAAATTGAAGCAAATTATTTTAAGATAAAGGGTATTGCATATTATCACCACATGGTTCTATTTAATAGATATAAAAATAAGATAACACAGACAGCTCTATAAGCATTTACTAAAATAAAATTTTAAGCACCCCGCTGACTGAATATATGCCCTCTTTTGGCCAAGGGGACCCCAGAGATACCCCAAAGCTGAGTTGCTAACCGTGAGAAGGCAGGTCACCATGCTTCATAATGTCCTTTTCCTTCTTGGATACATCCTTTGTAACTCATTAGCAGACCTAAGGCTATGCAAGGCAAAGCTTAAACCACACCTTCAGATCATCAATTTCCTTAATAGATCACTTGAGTCTGGTTACATGTCTGGTGGTTTGTCTCTGATTAACAAACTTCCTTATCTTAACTTTAAACATTATAAACCTTTAGACAAAGCTTCATTTCTTCAACCAATTACAAATTAAAGAACTTTTAAACCAGGGGTCCTCAAACTTTTTAAACAGGGGGCCAGTTCACTGTCCTTCAGACCGTTGGAGGGCCGGACTATAGTTTTAAAAAAAGTATGAACAAATTCCTATACACACTGCCCATATCTTATTTTGAAGTAAGAAAACAAACGGGCAAAAATACCCACAGGTGGCCTGGGGGCCATAGTTTAAGGACGCCTGCTTTAAACCCTGTAACCTATAGTACCCTACTTCCAGACATCCTGCCTTTTGGGGTCAAGCTAACTTTTGCCTCCCATATAATAATTTATGACTTTACATGTAATTCCTATGTCCCTAAATATATATAAAACTTAACTGTATTCCAACCATAGTGAGACCACTCGTTCAAGGCTTCTTGGGTGTGGCTCTCTGACTCAAAGTGTCACATATTTGGTTCAGAATGAACCTCTTTAAATTATTTTACAGAGTTTGGGGAATTTCCCATTGACAATATGACTTAATCTTAATGCACACTGAGGAAAAAGTAAACACACAAAAAAATGTAAGGCTGAATTATTTTTAGTTTCCCAAACTCCCCAAATTTCAGTTGAATTAGTCCCGGGTGAAGAGGAAAAGGCTAAAGGATCACATCTCCCTCAGAGAATCCGAAGTCTATGACTTTCAAGGAAAATACATTTCTTTGACCTGTTTTGAGATGGCTGCCATGGGTCTCACAGATAGAACTAACACTGCAAAGCTGTCTTTTGTGGGCCACATTCACATCTGTAGAGAAAGACAACTTTTCCTCTTCCTCCCCACACCCACCAGGAGAGGACACCGTGAGAAGGCAGCCATCTGAAAGCCAGGGAGAGAGCCTCCACCAGGAACTAAATTAGCCAGCACCTTGATTTGGACTTTCTAACCTCTAGAATCGTAAGACAATAAATTCATGTTGTTTAAGCCACTCAATCTGTGCTATTTCATTATGGAAGCCCAAGTAGACTGATAACATTATGTGATTATTACCCCGTATTTTCCTTTCTGTCTTGATAGAATCTTTAATAATACCACATTATTGTCCTTGTTACATCATATAGGAATCAACTCTTTAAAGTCTGTCTCTCTCAGTAGTCTAAAAATTCTTCCATGGCTCGGATTCTTCTTTTTGCCCATTCCTATCGCTTTTCCCCACACAACACATTGCCTGACCCCTGGTGGCTTTTCTATATATGTTGCTAGAAGAAAAACACAAATCTCTACAGCATAGCTAGCAATTATTTAACCAATCTGTTTAAAAACCATTATGCTCATGACATTAACATATAAGGCATAACTTTCTTCCTATTTGTGACTGACTATTGGGAATTTCTGCTCTTTATCAAGGTGAAGTATCTATTTCTGCATGTTGTATGAATGCTCTAAGTGTTCTCCATGGAGCCCCAGACTTGAGAAAATTGAGAGAATTCCAGAGTCTCTATCTCATAACAATTCTTTATATACCCTCACCTTTCTCAGCTCCCTTGAATTTTCCTGAGGCCTTTTCAGTGGCTTCAACATTTCCTCAAGTCATCTTGTCTTTCATCTCTCCTCCCAACCTGATGCCCTCTTTTGCATGAGCCCCTATATGGCTGAGTCCTCTTTAAAAAGTGATACCTATAGTATACATTACTTCTGCTCTGTTCTGATTATTTTACAGTATTTTAGATTCTCACTCTTTCTCCAAGTCAGAATTTTCCACTTTCCATCTGTGTGCTAAAGATTATGCAAGACTGATGGACAGACCCATCCTTTGACCCATGTTTACTTAAAACATTTGAGTCTTTATAAAATGGGGTGACATGAAAAGATTCTCCTCTCACTGGTATATTATATATATATAACACATAATCTCCAGCTTCCAACTTGAATAAAAATGGAGGAAATGTTTCCATGTGCCTTATAGCTTAGGGAAATGAACATAAATATTTTCCTTAAGAGAAGAATCATGTCCACACAGCCAAGCCTGACAGTAGGTTTCCTGCAGAGAATTTTTTATTGAAGAATGAAATCCACATTTGCACCAAATCACCGCTTGCCTCTTCAGCCATCCTGGAGAAACTGGTCCTCTCTCAGCAGAATCAGCAAGAGGGGGTTTTCTTTCCCTTCAGCATTATGGGGAACAGGCAATTTCCATAATTTTCCAGAGAAAGTCTTCCAATACCCTCCCTGCTACAGAAGTTATTCATTAAAAGAATGCTTTGAAGACCTTAAATGAAAAGTTTCATATCCTTAGGTCAATTAGTCAGATGAGTACAAGCAATAAAGGTGAGCAATTAAACACTAAGCTTCAACAGGGGAGAAAAGAGGAGTTCAATCCGGTAATAAAAGCTGGTGTTAGGAGCCAAAAAATCTGCAAATTTTTCTTTTACTTGCCACTTAGTAACATTATGATGCTGATCAATTTTTCTCACTTTCTTAGCATCATTTGTTTCTTCTATCTTTTCTTTCCCCTTTTCTGTCTCTTTCCTTTTGCTTGCTTGCTTTCTTTCTTTCTTTCTTTCTTTCTTTCTTTCTTTCTTTCTTTCTTTCTTCTAAATATTCTGATTATCAATGAACCATCTCACTTTTATGGTTCATAGTAGCATTTAGCCTGTTAGATAAATAAGATGGTTTCTGGTTTTTTATGGAAGAGGCTATTTTTGCTAATCATATATTAAATTCAGCACTTACGAAACAGCATTGGAAAATGTACATTCACTGGGAATTTCTTTTCCATCAAATCCATAGTGAGGTCTGTATTCCAGGGTACAAATCTTAGAATATTTGGTGTACTTAATCTGCCCAGTCAAAAACAAATTTTCATGTTTCAAATCATTAAATCATAGGAAATATGATCCCAGGAGTTTAAGGTTACAGTGAGCTATGATGGTGTCACTGCACTATAGCCTGGGTGACAGAGAAGACCCTGTCTTAAAATAAAAAAAAAAGAAAGAAAGAAAGAAATCTTAGAAAATGAACTTTTAAAAGGCTTGAATAATCAGTTAGTCCAAAATCCCATATGCAAAACGGTATTCCCTTGCAACTTACATATTCTGCCCCGACAACATTGAAATCTTCTTACAGCAAAGGACAGCTCAGCCTGTGTTTAGGTCCTGCCTCTCACCCAGTCCCCATATCTATGTGATGAATGGATTCCTCTGCCTCTTGCTCTTGATATACATCTGGGCAAAGATCCCACCTGTTTTCAGCTGCTGTGTATTTCTGTGCCTTGGCTCCTGCTGTTTTCCTGTCTTGCCTGAGCTTTCCTGCTTTACCCACCAGGCCAGCTCCCGCTCTTCTTTAAGTGTCATTTTAACTACTTGTAGAACAATTTCATGACGGCGCTTTTCTCCCACCCTCATCAAATTGAGTTAGGTGTCCCTCCTTACAATGAGCTGTCTTCACTGCCACCACCCGTGTTTATGCTGCTTTTATAACACATTTTAAGCTCTATTAGAACAACTGACATCACACTCACATAGCTCTTTGCCCCTGAATGGTCTCTATACTTGATCTTGAATTTTTTCATGTTTTATTTATAACTTCCTCCTATTATGGGAGTGTCTCTGAGTACCTTATTTCCCTTGAAATCCTCATCTTAACCTTGTAATTTATTGCAGTATTAGAAAATAACCGTATGTATACCAATATGCCACAATTAAGGGCCATAAGTAAGGTATGTGAACACTTCCTCTGGTAATTTAGGCCTTCTGTTTAGGCTGTCCAGATGCTTTATCTATAAATATACACAGTCATAAATGATTTAGAGAACATGTATTATAAAATAGTTATTTTCTATGAAAGTGAGGAGTTATTACAACATTTTACATTAAGGGTAAATAAAACTTCTGCATATACTTACACAGTTACCATCATGAAGTTTTCTGACTTGCAATTTGTTCTCTCTGGAAGAAAAGATTTTACTAAATGTATAATGCAATAATTTGAGGTTTCATATACTATAGAATAAAACACAGTCATATGTTATTTCTCTGTTGTCTGACCTGGACTGAAAATAAGGTTGAATTCCCATCAGTTGAATTCTCTCTGGTTGAATTACTACGTCTGTTGGCTAATATTGACTCTAAACATCTTTAATAGATGAACACTTAACAACTAAGAATACAAGAAAATAAAATTAACTCTAAAATTAGATTGAGCATTTTTAAATATAGCCTATGAATATTCAGATGAAAATCTAGGGCAAAAAATACTATGAAAACATTCTTGAAACTGAGATTAAGAAAAAGAAAATATGCCCAAATACTTTGCTGGCTCTTACAGTCTGTACAATTTTGTTATACAAAAATCTAACACTCAGAAAAGAGTTACTTCTCCTTGCTAAGTATTTGATGCATGCTGTGTAAAAAGAAGATATGAGATAATATAATCAACAAGATCTCATCAAGCTTTAATCTCTTCCAGTTGTGTTAATATTAGAGTATGAACTTGCATGTCCTTTGAAACCTTATTGTGCATGGCACTTGCTCTTACACTCGACTGTAAATTTTCAGAAGGGCTAGAAAATAGGAGAAAATAAGGAGGAAAGAATAAGAAGAAAGACGAACTTATTTTCACAAGTATTCACTCTATGTAACCTGTTTAGCTAAGATTTGTGACATTTTATCACAGTGAATCCTAAAGGCTATTATAATTTCTATCTTACAGGTAAGAATACTAAAGCTTGTAGTGGCTTGTGTATTTGCCTAATGTCACTGATCTACTAAGTGAAATCTGGATTGTAATCCAGATATTTGGCACCAAAACTCATAATTTTAGCCACTAACCATAAAATATCGAATTTATACTACTGAAAGCCTGGTAATAACAATTCTTTCATTATTCTAAAGATTAATCTCTTATTAAAGGTAAAGACTTAATATTAAATCTGTGGAGCTGGTGGAGGTAGGGATATATTCATTTCAACTACCCATTTGTACTTTCACTCTTTTCCCCAGACTTTTCTAGATGATTATGAGAAACCACATAAATTTTCTCTGGGGTATGAAGGATAAATCAAAATGTTATATTTCCATATAAGTTCTCAAAATTTTATGTGTCCATGGCTAACAGACTAAATAGAGATAGCCATCTTCAAAGTTCCCAAATGCAAAAACAAAGATGTAACAGAGGAGATTCATGGAAATTTGAGAAAGTTACATCTTCTTCTTGAGATCCTGCTTCCTTAAAAGTTATGTGGGCATAAAAATGTCTCATGGGGATAATGCCCCAAAGATAGTGTGTAATGTGAATGAGATTTTGGCTGAGTAGCAAAGATATACGAGATCTATCTGGAAAGCATCCAGCCATTGTTAATAAGTGTTTCATATTGCATAGCTTGATACTTTCTGGACAGCCCTCATAAATATAGAGATATAGATATATAGATACGGATACACACTCACATACATACACAAACACACACTAGAAATATAGCTCAACTTTTCTCTTTTCATTATTTTAAAAGAGCAATGTCCAAGGGATGTTGGAGGAACATAAACAAAGTTAGTATTTGTCAAACCATGTTTTAAAATTCCAAGCAGATTTGGTCCTGTGTGGGCTCTAACATAGTCTTTACAAAATGGAGGGAACTCCAAGTCAAGTATTTTACTTACTGATTTTCCACGCAAAAAATGCATTCATTGATGTAAGTTTTCTGATCTGTGCCACATATTGGTCTGAAAATCAATGGGCATATAATCCTTGCACCTTGACCATAGTATTGGGAACAGTCCACCTGTAATTCAAACAAAATATAATACCCTGCAGTTCATCCCTTCAATTCTACAGTCATTCCCATATCCAGATGGTGAAAGAAGAAGAAGAGAGCCGAGAGAACACCAGTCCCTTCAGTTTTTCAGCAAACACCTCTGGAAGATCTTATATGGACAAGGTGTTGTATTACAGAAATAAATCAGACCAGAACATACCCTATAATGGAATTCTCTGTGTAACAAGGAAACAATAAACTCTCCTTTTAGGGTGGCAATGAGAGGCCAGTGGAATAATGTATGTGAAAAATACTCAGAAGAGTTTAAAATGTTGCCCAAAGGTAAAAGTTTACTTTGTCTGCTGTTTTCCTTTTGCAAGGAGGTTCCTTTTGCAACCTTTAGAGAAAGAAAGGTGCAGAGCAGGAATATTTTTAACTAGGCAGGAATTACTTCAGTCCACTGTGAGCCAACTTAGCTGCATTCCCAGCTGTATGCACAGGTTAACTCTGATTCCATTTTTATAAAGACCACACAGAGAAGGATACACTTACCTCTGTCCCTTTGGCTTGATCACCAGAAGAGAGTGAAGTGAGATGCAATTGGAGAGAAGGAATTGGAGAAAGAACATATTTCACAGTTACAAGTGCAAAGCTAAATCCATTGTTCACAGTAACCCAAACCTATTTCCCAACAAGATTCTTTGCCAGCCCAATCCATCCCTACAGAAGTCATTTCCTTACTGAGGACCAAAGTCAGAATGAAGACAAACATCTACATAGCCCTGATTTAAAACAAACAATCCAGAGAGGAAAGCCCTGACTATTGACAAGGGGCTGTCACAGATGTCCAGGAGCTCCTGGTTGGCATGCCCAGAGTAGGTGGGTCATGGTCCCCAAGCTGTCCCTAAGCTGTTCCTAAAAGGGCAAGTCATAAACCTGAGAGATCCTGATCAGGAACTGCGCAGAGAACCACTACCCTTTTATTCCTCTTCTCAGTTTCTCTTGCTCTCACTGAAGGTCTGAACCACCTCGCTTTGTTAATCAGACCAATCCAAATAAAACCTTCTAAAGTATCTTCAGACTTTAACATTTAATCATTTAATGAAGATTGAATATGTTACAGTTAACATAAAGGCATGGATTTTTGAAAGAAATCCCAAGTTACCCGCTGGACAGGCAGCCCATGCAGTGGCTGCCAGAGCAAAGATGGCCAAAGCAGCAATGCCCTTCATAGCGATGGTGAATGACAGTGACAGACACGCTGCTCTGGGGCAAGGAGTCAGAGAGAGAGAGAGACAGAGCAGTCTGCCCCACGTACATATATATACTCACACACGGGCAGGGCCTGCTTTCATTAGAAATTGACCTTTCCAATGATTGGCTGTGACTCAGGATATTTGCTTCATTTGTTCAGGAAAATTTCCTTATTATCATGATTTATAGACAGTTGGGACAGTTTTACCATGCAAGCCATCTACCAAAAAGGTGTTTTGCATAATGACCTCCCAATTACTCAGCAAATGCAATGGTGTATTTGAGAACAAACTCAACAATTGGCATAGTAAGAGAAAAGAAACACTCAAATGATATATGTGTAAAGTGTATTACGTGTGTTAATGTCATATTACAGGCAGGTGAGTTGAAATAGAAAATAGAGGCAATGAGGACACTCTTTAAAATGTACAATAGTAGATAACATTAGTAGTTGGCACTGAAAATTCCTTGTTTCTAGAGTAGGAAAATACTTTACAATTGTTTCAGGAAAATCTGGGACAATATGGAAAAAGTGCCCCCAAACTGATAGGGAGCAGAGAGACCAAAGAATGACTCCAACAAGTCCAGCTTGGCAAGTCAGCTGAGTTATTGGCAGTTACTTACTAGGGTACTTGCTCCTGGCCAGAACAGGAATTTTTTCCTCAGGAGCCTCTTGCTAGCAAAATCCACATCTGCCCACCCTTTGGTGCTGCCTTAAATCCCTTCCCAATGAGTAATGCAGAGTTTCTGCATCGTATCTCTGCTTGTTCACAGGGAAACAATCACGCCGGCACAGGACCCTCATCACACACTGTCGTGCCACCCATATTATGTTAAGGACATTACAATTTTCCACTGGGTGGGGATTTTAATATTACAATGAGCGAAAGGGCACTACAGGACAACCAAAGCAGTTCGAAAGCAGCAAGGGCTGGTCTAAACTGGCTACTTCAAGGCAAGAAAGCGCTGACGCACCTACGAGACTTCTGGGCACTTTTCCTGGGGCCAGCAGATACCTTGGTACTTGTTTAAACTGCTTTGTAACAATTTTTCTGAGCACTCCCACAGCACAGTGGTTCTGTTATGTGGTCGGGAGCCTGCATTTTTCCCTTGATGATGTCCTATGAAGGCACATACTATGCATTTGCTTGTGATGATTTAATCATTTCAATGATCACAATAAATTTGTGAAATATGCAGATCATATCGTTTTTATTTAGAGGGGCAGCAAACTCACAAAGGTTATGTATTCTGTATTAGTAACACAGTTAGCGAGAGGGAGAGCCAGGTCTCTAAAACCCTAGGCCTATGCTTCTCTTCTAAAATATGTTTTTCCCTTACTAAGTTATACCACTTCATTACTAAAATGGATATTCAAAATCAAAATTCTGATTTTAGAATACTGTCACATATGTCTTAAGGTGATAGCCATGAAATTGTTGAATACATTCTACTTTGCTCATATCTACATATTTCTGTCTATCCACAGAACTAGTATGTGCAACATTCCTTAATATTTTTTCCATAATACAAGCCTAGGGATTTTCAATCAGTTAGTACTTTCACCCATAGTATCTCACGTGCTCCTCCCATTGTCTCTGCAGAAGATAGAATATAATATTTCTACTTCACACATGATGAGTACAGATATTAAATGAATTAAGCAATTTCCTCAAAGCAGACAGCTGCTGGCTGACAGAATTTTGACCAAAACTGTATTTTCTAATTGGAGATCTTGTGGTCACAAGTAATTGATTGAATATGTTTCCAATTTTTTTAATGTGTGTGTTTTTCATTCATAATTTCAATTTTCCAATACCAGATAGAACATTATCATTTTCTTAATAGTTCATGCCGTTTTGGAATTTGTACACACACACCTCATCCTTATTTTGATACTTCATCAGCTCTTGAACTCTACATTCTAAAAGTGCTCTCCAGAAGCTTTTCTGAATGGGAGGAATGATCTGGTCTTCCCAAGTCATAGTGAAGCACCTGCATAGACCAACCATGTCCCAGGCAAATATAGAAGTGAGAATAATGGCTCACTCACAGGATGTTAGAGCTGCAGAGACTCTAAACAAACATTTGGTCTGTGATTTTCAAGCTTTTTGTTTTTGTTGTTTAATTAAAAAGAGGAAGTTCATTTTCTCAATTCCTCATTGAGAAATGAGGATTCTAACTTTTCAATTCCTCATTGTAATTTAATGAGGCAAACAGTAGAGTGAAACAGAATTTTGAAGGGCAGTCACTTAAATAGAAGCAAGTCACGGTTCCCGGGTACCTATATTTTGACCACATATCACAAGGTTCTTTGGAAATCAATTTGAAAACTTCTGATCTAAACCACACTGAAAAAGAAAGTGAGGGCCTGAGAGGGGGAGTATCTTACGCAAGGCCACTCAGTGGATCAGGCCCCCTGTAACATTCTACTGTAAGATTCTTTCTTCCCTGCCACACCTTCTCCACCGACACACAGTCCTACGTCTCTATGGATTTTGTGCCTCTGTTTGCTTACCCAAAGAAAATGAGGGAGGATCTTCCACCTGGGTTGTGGACTCAGTTCTCTGCTGCTTACTGGGCATCGCCTCCTGGACATTTGATACGATCGTCCAGGCCAACAAGGTCCCAAAAGTCCTTGTGCTAAATCTCATTTTAATTGGCCTTTCTGGAGTTTCGCTCTGTTATTATCTGTCAGTAGTAACCCAATCCAGGAAACCTAACACCTCACCTCCTCTCTGATTTTCACCCTATGTAGGTTTTGAGCCATGAGTGTGTGTGTGTGTGTGTGTGTGTGTGTGTGTGTGTGTGTGTGTGTGCTCACACAGGCACCTTCCTTTCCAGGAAGAATGTGCATTTTTATTTTTATTTTTAATTTTGTTTTATGTTTACGAATTTTTAAAGTTCAGAGTCAAAGACTAATGGTCTTTATATCCATCTCTATGTCTATTCCTTTCCAGGAATTCTTTTAGGAAGAATGGAGAAATTTATCTGTCAAGAACACTGCATCTTTCTTTCTTTCTTTCTTTCTTTCTTTCTTTCTTTCTTTCTTTCTTTCTTTCTTTCTTTCTTTCTTTCTTTCTTTCTTTCGAAACCCACTTAAAATAACTATCTAAGAATGTATAAACAGTATATAGAATTATGTTAAACCCAATATCATCAAAATGCATTGCTCGAACCAAAATCACTTCAAAGAATCCAGGCCCATCTCTACTTACCTGTTGCCTAACAGGCCTAAGTTTTTGTTTCAAACCAAACTGGCTGAGATTCTAGGGAAGCTACCCTTTGACTCAAACATACAATGCGAAAGAAGCCATTAGCTATCCCATATATGATCCCAAACATGATAGGTGTGGATTTTGATCAATAAATTTTGGTATACAAAATTAGTTATTCTTTTTTTTCTTTCTTGTAAATAAAATTACATCTGATTCTGTCTGGATTTGGGGAGACTTTGTCTTACTCATTACTGGAGTTTATTGGGATGTGATATGCTTTATAAGTGCATAGAAAATCAAAGCAGGCCCTCTAATCTCTGCACAGTCATGGTAGCTTCCTGTATTCTGATGGTTCCAGCCAAGCCATAAATGGTTCCCTTTTCTGAGGCTGCTCTCTGGTTTTCTAGGGCACAGGGGACAGAGTGATTTTAACTGGGACTGAGCACCTGAATCTGTGGTTCTGTAGACACTTTTTGAAGTCATAAAGTCAGGAGTCTTCTGCTTCCTCTGAATGCTACCAAGTAGAAAAAAAAAATTTTTTTTTTCGTATTTTGGCGAAAACACTTCAATAAGAGTTACCCTTGTAACAGAAATTAAGTGTAAGAACAGTATTGTTAACTATACTGTAAGCCCAATATTGCTGAATGGATCTCTAGAAATTTTCATCTTACATGAAAAAAACTCTGTATCCATTGAACAGCAACTTCCCATTTCCCCCTCCCCTCAGCCACTGGCAATGAATATTCTACTTTATTCCCCATGAGTTTGACTACTTTCGATACCTCATATAAATGAAATTGTGCAATATTAGTCCTTCTTTTATTAGCACAATTCTCTTGGGATAATATCGCAAGGTTTATCTATGTTGCAGCATATGATAGGATTTCCTTCTTTTTACAACTGAATAATATTCCATTATATGTATATGCCATATTTTCTTTATTCACCTGTATATGAACATTTAAGTTATTTCCATCTCTTAAATACTGTGAATAGCGCTGCTATTCAGTAACCATGGGAATGCAGTTATCTCTTCAAGATCCTTACTTCAATTCTTTTGGATATATACCCAGGAGTGAGATTGCTAGATCATATGGTAGTTCTGTTTTTAATGTTTTGAGGAAACTCTATACAGTTTTATACACTGTTTACATTTCTGCCAAGAGTGCACAAAAGCTCCAATTTATGCATATCTTCACCTTTTCTTTTTTTTTTTTTTTTTGATGATAAACATTCTAACAGGTGTGAGGTTATACCTCCTTGTGGTTTGGGTTTGCATTTCTATTACGATTAGGGATGTTGAGCATCTTCTCATATACCTGTTGGCCATTTGTTAACTCTTCTTTAGAGAAATGTCTATTCAAGTCTTAGTCCATTTTATAATTGGGTTTTTACTTTTCTTGCTACTGAGGTATAGGGATTGCTGATATATTTTAGATATTAACTCCTTATCAGATATATATTTTTCAAATATTCTCTCCCATTGGGTAGGTTGCCTTTTCACTCTACTGACTGTTCCCTTTGCAGAAGGTACTTAGTTTGATGTAATCCAACTTACTTATTTTGCTTTGATTCTGTGTGCTTTTGGTGTCATATCCAAAAAATCATTTCCAAGACCAATACCATGAAGCTTTTATTTTTTATTTTCTCTAGGAGTTTTAGAGTTTCTGGTCCTATATTTATCTTTCATCCATTCTGAATTGAATCTTGTGATTTGTATAAGGGTCTAATTTTATCCTTTTGCAGATGGATATCAAGTTTTTCCAATACCATTTATGGAAAGGATACCAA